ATAATGGAAACACTTAAATGAATCACAGGGCAATTAACATTCAAACAGAGAAATGTTTATCATTTTAGGCTGCAGGGAACAGGACAAATATGTTCTGTGGGACTAAAGATAATTCAAATTTGTCCAAATGGTAAATACTGTTGATGTCAACACGTAAGTCATAACTGTGAGTAGGAAACAACACTTCTGAAAGTGCTGATATAGGCAATGATGAAGCCTCTTGGATGAGAGGTGAAACGTCTTCCACCTAGAAATCTAGTCCAGTTGATTTTGAGTTTTTTCAGCTTATTATGACCTGGAAGACTGAGAATCTGCACAGACATGTTTATCATATACTTTTTTCAAATATAATTAGACTTATCTGGCTTCAGGTAGAATGAGCGGTGGCTCTACATCACATACTTACGAGCAAGGCGACTGTATAACGCAACAACTGGTAACAACATTGACAACAAGATGAAATGCCTCAGGACCTTTCTGATTCAGTTCACATCATACATTCCCTTCACACCTCTTAACCAGTTGAATGTGAATGTTTTTAAGTAATATACATGACAACCTCTGCTAATGAAACATCCATCTCAAATGATGTGAGCTCAGCACAAAAACACTTAGATCAAAAGGTATTTTAATGTATGAAATTATAAAATATGACAGTATAAATGGCTCATTCTGTTTGACAAATCACAAACTGTCTTAGCAAAGACAGAGCAGGCACAAAGGAGGAGGGATTATGTGACCCATCATCCAGTTTCTGCTGGATCATAAACTGCTCAAAATCAGACAAGACTCGGTGTTAGAAATACATACAGTGTGGGCACCTAGGCTATTGTAGCATGCCACAAATTAGCTACTGTGTTATCAGCTAACTGCACAAGTCAGTCTAGTCATTTTAAGATATCTTGCCCAACATTACAAATCACAAAACTCTCTATGCCTAGACCCTCAAATTAGTCTAGCAGCCAAGCAGCCCACTTCCAGGACCATCCATGCTTAGTATCAAACAGACTGAGTGTCAAGAAGAAGCATTAGCCAGTCACACGTAAAGTACACTGTTAGGATTTTTAACTGCAGCCATACATAAAAACCAAACCCTCGGAGACTGCTGTGTCTAATCAAGTGTCCAGTTATACTGCAACCCTCTCTGCAACTGCTGAGATAAAGCCCATGCCTATTAAAACTGCCGGTTGTGCTGTTGGTCCTGCAGCTATCTCACAGCAAGTATGAGAGGATGATGAAATGCTGCAGAATTAAGTTTGACGCAGATGAAATTGGATGGTGTTAATCGGTGGAGTCAGTCCCCTCAGTGGCTTGGATTTGTGATGGAGTTCGTGTCAAGTCCTCCCCCCTTTTTGGAGGCTGGGAGTCCAGATGTGATTCAGGATCGGATCCACATCACCACACCCGCTGCCCACAGTGCCACTGGCAACAAGCATGGGCGCCGGCCAAAAGCTAAAGAAAATGGACTTATATAGCACGTTTCTATACACTGAAGCATACTGAAAGCGCTTTAACACTAATTTGCCAGTTCACACATTTGCTTACACAGACATCACCTGGAACAACTTGGGGTTCAGTGAACACTTCAACAGGTAGACTGGAGAATTGCTGCCCCTCCTGTTAAGGAGTGACTCACTCTACCTTCTGAGCCAGAGCCACCCTGAGTGAGGGGACTCTCATGTGAACAGGCAGGAAGGGAGAAGAGAAGCTAAGATTTACACCTCACAATGCAGGAAAACAGAATAATATGGATGAAGAAATGACTGAGCCTGTCTCAACACTGCAAGGCTCCAGCATCCATTCACAGAACATGTAGCGAGCAGCCTCGAGGGAGCGTGGCTTCATGCTGTCAGGTTCTATAGACGGGCTCCACATGAGGGGTTTATTACTGTAGTACATGTTGACGTTTCGCCCTTTTTTGCTTGTGGCCTCTATTAACAAAGCTATATCTCACAGTAAATGTCAGAAATTGAACTTTGACAGCAAACAATTTAATTTTCCCTATTTAATTGTGATATTTAATGGATAAAGCAATAAATAAAATTATATTAATGCTTTAAGAAAACACTAAAAATATAGCACAAAATATGCTAAATGAAAACAAATAAAATCTAGAACAAGAAAAAAAACAGTACAAGTAATAAAATAAGAATCTACAGTTTACTATAAATATTATACTCCATTTGCATTGTGTAATATTCGACCACTGGACTAGAGGCCAGCTGGTGTGACAGAGCTAAGTCTGTCTATCTAAAATGCCTCCATCTAAAGCAGTTTCCTCCAATTGTGAAGTATTAAAAAGCTATAATACAGATGACCCAGTAATAGGGTCCACAGTAACTGGGACTGGATGCCAGTTGTCTACTTGAAATATGCTCTAGTGCCATGATAACCTATAGACGTGGACATGTAAGTCCTACATGGATCCGATTTGTGTGATAAACTAACGGCACTAACCCTTCCAGATAACAAATTTTCTGCTAAAAAAGGGCAATTTATATAAGGAATGATGTGGCTAAAACAGTCGCAGACAAACCCATACCACACACAAATACACATGGGGTCAGTTAGGTCAGGACATGGCCATTAACCCTGTGTGGGCATGTCCTGGGGTCAGATGTTTTGAGACATATTTTATGTCCAGCCTGCCAGGGGAAAATATCAGAGCAAAAGTCACAGTCACACAGGATTCATCGGTGGAAACCAGGGGGGACTCTGGATACTAACCAGGCTGACATTTTACTGGGAAATCATAATGGAGTCCAAACCAAAAGAACTATCTCCATGTAGAACAGATAGGATCCCTAAGAACAACAACACAACGTATCAGCCTGGTTCTGCTTAACCATTAATGGTCATGAGCATAGATCGGTGTGAGCTTGCAGCACAGGAATGCTCCAAATTTATAAAGACAAACAGCCACTGCACACAGCGACATAAGCATGAGCCTTATATTACTGAAAATGACTGCTTGATATAAACACACATTTGCCATGATGTCATACTAAAACTTACATTTTTTAAAATGTTCATGATGTGCGCTGACAAGAGGAAGTTGTTAGCTCTAATGAAATCCCCTTATTAAAATGATAATAATGAAAAAGTAGATGGAGATTAACAGAAGTGGAAATTTTGAGAAACATTTTTTTGCTTTCTTGCAGGGATTTAGATGACAAGACAGATGTCATGTCTGTACAGTAAATACTTAGCTTAGCATTAAAACCAGGACAAAACCTGGAAACAAAAGTAACAAAAATCCACTTGCCAGCACCTCTAAAACTCATGGGTGTTAATTAGTGCACTTCAGAGGTGCTGGGAGGGAGATTAAATTTAGGAAGGAGCTGGTTTGGACGTTTCACGTTTCCAAATGTTATGCTAGACTGACAGGCTGTAACTTCATGATTCACAAGATTAGTGATAAAGACAGGAGTGGTATTGATCTTGTCGTCTAACTCTCAGCAAGAAACTCAATAAGCAAACACATCAAGTAATGTAGAGAGAGGTTCCTAGATGGCTGTTCAGCCTGTGATGTTTATTGCATGAGTGTTTTTATTAAGTTTTTAATGTACTCACTTTCCCTTTACCTTAGCTTTTCGTGTTCAGATAGCTAATTTGTGAATTTTTGATCAATGATAGCAGTTGCTGAGAAGTGGCTGCACATACTGGAAGTTTTTTATGCCACGTCCACAATGAATTTCATCTGTTATTACTACTGATAACTGCACTGTAAATATGGTGTAAGACCATGACCCGTACAAACCGTCACCTACTTTCATGTACTACTTTTTGTCTGGGTCCTGGTCTCACGGTTTGGGCTCCAGACTGCTTAGCACAAATTAAAGGAGGTCTAATTATAATTTCTTACATCTAAATCCCTTGAAATGACCAAAACTAACAATAACGCCTACTAAAGGAATAGATTATTTCCTCTGTGCCACAGAGCTGCACTGTGGATGCACTGGATGACGTGTTCCCTATTTACCATGAACACATGACTATTTTGAGTCTATCCCACATACACCAAACCTACAGCTGCAATGTTCAAGAGTCCATGCACAGTACTTTTAGCCATGTGTCGCATCTATATTTGAAAAGCTGTGTGGAAAAACAAAACCAAACTTCCACACAATTTAAAATACATCTGCAAGAACTATTTCGTTAGAAAATTCGATGAAGCGGATTTTTCTTGACAAAAACACGAGAAGGCAAAGTCTCAAAGGGCAGAAACACAGGAGAGGACACCTGAGCCTGTATTTATCCTTAGGCACACAAACACATTTGCTTAACCCAACACAAACACACACGCGCACATTTATATTGCATGAGAAAAAGAGAGGCAGTCAGCAGAGGTGGTTAAAAGATCCTCCCTTAGGGAACAGTGGGTGATTCCCCCAGTAGCTCCAATCGTTACACCCCGTGGGCCCTTTGCTGCTCGACTGACAAACAACAGTCACCTTTCTGCCATGCAAATCTCATTATGTAACAAATGTTTTATTATCTAAGATACGAGACATTTTTAAGAGACTACACGGGATGAAAAGAAAGATGTGAGAACTCTTTTCATTACCATGCCAGTGCTGATTGACAGCAGAATAACGCCTCTGCAGATCCTCCTCGCTCACAAATCCACTCACCAGTGAATACAGCAGATTAAACAGTATAGCATTTCTCCTGCATTGTGTTTGATGATTTCATCCTCTTTGAGCCTTGTTAAAAGCAACCTTAGCAGGCAGAATAGCAAAGACAGAGGCAGTGTGTACATCTGACATTACAGCCAGCAGCGAGTAGATCTGAATCCTGAAGCTGAAATCGCAGTGAACACAAATAACAAGACCAACAGTACGAGAGACGGGCAGTCAGGATGAACAGTGTTTACAGTCAGGGAGGAAAACGGAGTCGGCAGTGTGCTGATGGGACACTGTGCTATGACTGTGCATCCTTGTAGAGAACATTTGCCACCAGTGCTCTGACTGCAGCTGGATCCTCAGCATCTGTGAAGGGAAAATACAGATGTACAAATGACCAATAGGGACACCCAGAGTGTGACCACATACATATCACGAGTGCTTTCTAAATAGTGAAAACCAATTCTTCAGCACACTGGACTGATTTAAGAAACCAAACTACTGGCTTTCCCCTGTCAAATATCTAGGCTTTTATTATCTTAGCTTAATCCAGTAAAAATCATATAATTAGGATAAAGTGATCAAGTGTTGTCAAAGATCAGGAAGTCAAACTATTGCCACATATAAGTACAGGAGGAGCACTCACAAATGCTCCCACATTTCTTTCCAGTCATGCCCTAAGGACCGATTATCTGGTCTACACTGGTCTAGACCGAAATATCTATTTTATACAAACATTTACACTCACTTTTCCTCTAGTGCCACCATGAGGTTCACATTCAGGGATGAACTGATCCTCTAACTTCATTTAGTACCATCATCATTTCTATTTGTCAATTATATTTTGGTTTATGATAAAATATGCAAAACTAATGACAATGCTAAAAGCTAAGATTTTGAATATAACTGCGTTAGCATGCTGATGCTCAAAGTGCTGCTGCATCTAAATGCAGTCTAACAGAGCTGCTGGAATGGCCGTAGACTCGTAGTCTTCTTCATAAACCACTGGCAACAGTCCACTTACACACACCAGTGTGTCTTGCTCTGCCTTCCTACAACAAACGGCTGCTTCCAATGGTTTAACACTGAGGAGTCTATTTGTAAGCTCTATCCCTATACTTACATGCAAATTTAGCCTCGCTGAAGCATTTCAGAGACTTAATATAAAAGGCAACAATCAGCCCCTTTCCTGAAGTCTCTAGCAAGTTAACACAAACATGCACAATGCACAAGACTATAGAAGGACTGTTACAAAGTGCAGCTCGGGTTTAAACAGAGGTAACTGGTTAGGGTGAGGGTAAGATTGGAGTCTGGTTAAGAAGCTAACGCTGACCACCTTCCTGGGCTGCCTTCGTCTGACTGTTTGCATGTTGCGGTCCTTCGAGAGTCTCCCAAAAAATGCAGGTTTCCAAAAAAGAAAAACTGGCTTTTATGCAGGGTAATATTAAATATTAACTGTGAAACAGCTACAAACTAACTGAGCTAACTACTGAAATTAGAAAGGTTGGATCTTTATTTCATTCACAAAAGCCTCATTTCATAATCAGCCACTGCCTACAAGACCTGTCTCTGTCTCAGTGTAACAAAATATCGCTTAACTTGCTCTGTTCAACATTATCTCTGGCTGCAACATGCTATTCTGTTAAGTGGAAACTAGCTGGTGATTGAAATCCTCAAATACAAGTCAACAGGCAACGGCCGTGTAGGAAGAACTGTCCATATTTAGAAGCCTTCCCACGCTGTGATGGAGAACTGACAGACCCTACATAACCACCCTTTGGCTAAAGGGCGGATATTAAGATGAATGAACAGCAGGGAAGAGCCTGAGAGCTGCTGCTGACATTTGGAGGAGGTCAGGGCGAGGCAGCTAACACCTGCAGCAGAGCTTTCCTTTCCTCCTTTCCTTTTATACTTCTGTTTGTCATTTTGAGTGTTTAATAATAAAATGTTTGAGTAAAACCACAAATGAAATTAAATGAACGTCAAGCCGCTCTGGTAAACAAAGCCTGCATAGTAAACAAAGATTTGACATGTATGTTCTCCTGTGGACCGTCCCCCACACTCTATGAATCAAACACATTTTTACACTATTGTCAAACCTCGGTTGTCTGCCCTCTTCTCTCTTTCCTCTCCCTACGCTGCTATGTCAGACATTTTCCACAGTGCATTAGGTTACGCACCTGTGAAATCATTGTCAGAAGAAACACAACAGGCCCAGAGGTTGAATTATTATCACAGGCAGCAGGAAGCTATGCTTCACCACCACAGGGCCTCAAGAGAAACAGCCAGAACCTGCGTTTTCATCAGACAGCAGGAAGCTATGCTTCACCACCACAGGGCCTCAAAAGAAACAGCCGGAACCTGAGTTTTCATCTGAAGTCATAAGGCTCCAGCAGATCATGCTAATCATGTGTTTGTGAGTCTTCCTAAACAAATAGGTTTCCACTCATTTCACAATAATTTTGTGATGTCAAGTGGTTGACTAGCTGGTCATGCAGACAAAGTACAGCCTCGTCTGTGGCTTGCATGAAAATTTTAGATATGGCATGCATGAAGGCTGAAACTGCACGTGAACACAGGCGAGATTAATGTTCTACTGCAAATAGAGAGTCAAAAAGAAAATTAACAGAAAATAAGTAAGCACTGTGCACATTCAAGTTACTGTCTTGGTTAAGCATTGTGCATTGTGTGTGGAGAGCCCCTGGACTGCAACAATACACTTCTCCAAAGAGCTGAGGATAAAAAATAAAAGAAGTCAGAGAGCAGTGTCCTCAGCTTCTGCAGTCTGTCTGCTGCTGGACTACAGCCTCTAAAACACTTGAGTCTTTTCAGGACTGGTTTAAGACTGGATTTATATACAGCTGGATGTAGAGAGGACAGCGCTGCGTTAGAGGCTACCCGTTTCCTCCTGGTCCTTTTCATCTACATGTCAGTGTCCCTTTTTTCAAAAGCTGGTCAACAGCCATTCAGTGGATTTCTGCTATGCATTTATCTCTTTATATATTATCTGCTTCATATTTAGCTGTGCCGTATTCAGAGCGCCCCTCTAAGAAGAAGGGATTCACTGATTTGATCCTCGCTGTTGCAAACTGACTTCAGGTTCAATATGATTCATTTATTGTTTATATTCTTGCTCATATAAGTGCAGTTTGAAACAGCCAGCTCTGCCTTTTAGATTTCAGCCACACTATATCAGAGTTGGACTAATTTATTGTAATGTTAAACCAACATTTCTTACTGTTGCTGCTTCACGTTCCAATCATTCAACTGGTGGGGTGGCTTTTACTGTGAAGCAGAAATTGCTACGTATTTGCCACCGAGGTTTATGGTGAGCATAATAGTTCATCAGAAATTCATTTTTCCTGCGTGGATCATTTTCAGTTTTTGCAAAGCAGCAGCGGGCGGTTACATGAAGCGCTGGAGACTGTATGAAATGAAACAAATACACCAGTTGCCCTTGGCTTGTGAATTCTGTTTGTACCTGTACAAGTTCTCTTAAACTGCTCTGATGTGCCACCTGAGATCACGTTTGTACCCGTGATTCTTGCATAAAGGCCATAAAAACTTTCCAGCAAGCAGAATCTTGTTAGCAGTAAACTGTCATCTTGGGATCATTCTTCTCTTCTCTTCTTGCTGGTATTCATGTCAAAGCCTGAGTGTTATAACTGGATGGCAGAGTCGGCCCCTTGTCTGATTCCAACAACAAACACAGGAGATGTCGGTGTGAATTCAATCCAAACTGAATCAGCTTCTAAATCACTGTCTCTAAGCTGGTGTACTCACCAACTCCCAGCACCTTCAGGTGGCTTTTAAACTCAGGTTTTTCCTCCAGTACCCGCAGCAGGTTGGTGGACTCCATACGCTCTAGCCCCACCTTCCAGTAGATGTAGATTTTCTGACTGAAGCTGACATACACCAGGCACGGGCTGTTCTTACCCTCCTTATATGTATACTGACCTGCAACCGCACACACAAACACAGAAATAACACTCAAACTGCATATATTACACAATTTTACTCAAGATGTGGCAGGCAGTGAAGTGATAGAGCCCTTAGTGTGAATCCCAATGTACACATCAGGAATTGTCTGCTGCAGGGCTACGAATATGTGCCTCTGTGGCAGAGACAGAAACTGATCTTATCAGTCTTAATGGTCTCACAGAGCAGGCAGGGAGTAGAGTGCAAGGTAGGAGCAGACTATTTCCACAAAAATGCACACTCTGGGTGCAAAGAAACAAAACTCAGGGCAATTAGGCAAATCAGGCATGTTTTTCTAATCCAGTTGCTACTGTCCATGCCACAGTAGCTCCCTCAAATAAACTGTGGCTTGTTCCCACACTGCAGAAACATTTGAAAGGGCAGAAGAAGAAAGGAGGAGGGCAATAAAAAGACTGAGTGAATGTCAACTCAATGCTGCCACCTACTGAAGAATACTCTTCTTGAATGTGGCAGTCTGTGCTGCGTTTTTCCCGATCCCTCTCCATAACCCTCCTGATAACAATATACTGACACAGTAATGTTCTGTGTGAAGGACACCACATCATACAGAGATCCAGTTTTTTAAATCATATTTAGCCAAGGCCCTTTATGAAATACTGTAGAGCACTGTAGAGCAGATGGAATCAACTTTTAGCTCCCGGTTTCATTTTTACACTCACCCACTTCACACTTGGTTACTTTATTGTTCCCTAAGTCCTGTCAATGCTTATTTTAGTTATGGCAGGATAAACAGAGTCACGTATAGAACCTAAACTTAAATAATTGGTGAACATGGCTAGAAACCTGTATTATCACTGCCAACATTAAAATAATCCAAGGTGCAAAAAAAGGTCCAAAGTGAGAGAGGGCAGGCGAGCATACAGGGGAAAATCTGTTCATCATTTGGAGCCACAAAGAAACTCAAGGCCTCTCACCTGCACAGAAGGCATTGACATTCTCATCGAACTGGAACCGCACTACTGTCCTATTGTGGTCGATGATGTAGGTTTGACCGTCCCAGGCGCAGGCTACCACCTCCTCTCTGCCGTCACCCTGGGGGGAAACAAACACAGGTACAGAGTCTTAAAATCAGTGGAAATGTTCCACTGTGCTGGATACATAAACACAGTTGATCGATCAATTGACCAATCACCAGAAACAACTCTTTATATCAAGCAAAAAGCCAAACACTGTCAAATATCTGCTGTGTCTCTCAGTCTTTTATATCCTGTTTTATTTTAAGAGATTTGAATTAATCACTTGACAAAACCTAATTTTTAAAAAGACCTTTTTATTTTTCTGGTATTTATCTGGTTATTTAGATATGTATATGGTCATTTTACCTGTGCGTGTGTATTTCTTAGTGCTGTTTTGTTGTATTTTATTGTTCAGTATTTTGAAGGGGGCAGCATCGTGGCGTAGTGGTTAGCACTATCGCCTCACAACAAGATTCCAGGTTCGAGCCCGGGCCGACCCGGGGTCTTTCTGTGTGGAGTCTTCATGTTTTCCCTGTGCCTGCGTGGGATAGATGGAGTAATTTGAAGGCCTAGATATGGGCACTGCAAATTAGCTGTGGTATGTAGCACTGGTTTATGCTACGTACGTGTCCCTATAAAGAAAACCATTAAAATAACAACATCTTATGTTTATGGCATTGTGTTGCTCTTATTTTATTAATGATTATTATTGTACTGTTTTATGCTCCGCACTTTGTGTCTGATTTTATTCAACTGTAGCGTTAAAACAGATTTTTTTCTATGAAAGGCACTTTGTTTTAAAAGGTGTGTTATAAATAACATTTTATTACATTAATATAATTACCGTATTTTCCGCACTATAAGGCGCACCTAAGAGCCTTAAATTTTCTCAAAAATCGGCCGTGCGCCTGATAATCCGGTGCGCCTTATGTGTGCACTGAGTTCCAAAATCTGTAAAAATGTTGTCGTGCGACTTTGGTAAGCGCTCCGCTTGATTGACTGTCGGACCATTTCCCGCTGACACAGGGACGTAATACGTACACTACGTACGCTGGCAGCGATAAACCAGTCTAAACCGGTCTAAGGACCCCCGAAAATGGCACCAGTGAAGAGACATGCTTACGAGGCACATTCAACTAAACTCACTGTTTTGCTTCTGTTACGTTTTAGCATGCGCCTTATAATACGGTGCGCCTTATGTATGGGTTAAGTACAGAAATAGACCCCGTAATTGAGACTGCGCCTTATAATCCGGTGCGCCTTATGGTGCGGAAAATACGGTAAATGATTTGTTGATTCGATGAAAAACAGAATCAGCTGATAACAACACTTATTTGAAGCCCTGCATAAATGCACACAAACTGACTGTGACATCGAGCTTCTGCAGAGCAAAGAGCTGATGATCCACCTGGACAGACCACAACAGCTGCTCAGAGCTGTCCATCAACTTCAGGGTCCCTTTAACATGTGAAAGGAAAAAGGGAAAATGGAAAAATTAAAGAATAGCTGTGACAATTCCATTTGGTCAGCAAATGACCTTTAACTTTAAAACTGCTGTTTAATATAAAGAATTAAGCAACAAATTAAAGGAAATACTCTGAACACGCATGCTTCTGATAACATCACAAATTCTGAGAAGTTTGTTATCATGGCTCTTTTCACAAATGAAATAATTTAAGTGTAAGATTTTTGTGTCAAAATGGAAAGAGCAACAATCAACTAGAATTACGGCATCACAGCTGTATGCCTCTGCTAACCAGTCAAATTCACAGGAATGGAACAAACATGGCCACAAAACCTAATCATATTTGAGCCCAAATGGGTGTTTGTGCCAAATTTGAAAAAATTCCCTTGAGGTGGTTCTGAGATATCACGTTCATGAGAATGAGCCAGATGGACAGACGGATCATCAGAAAACGTAATGCCTCCGGCCACAGCCATCACTGGCACAGAGGCATACAAAACCACAAATCCAGAATATAGACCAATGCGATTTTAAGAAAAGAAATGAATGAATTAATGAATTCCTCCCTGAGTTCAGTCCAAAAACTGCATCTCACAACATCAAACGCTGCTTTAAAGACTTGTGACAGAAAAGGTTTTCACTATGGTAAATTTTAGAGCTTACCATCTAAAGTACACAGAGCGAACAGTCCACATTTAGATGATTCCTCTTTTGAGCCTGTTGAAAGACAGAGACCATCTATCAAACTTTATCTACCAAAATATCTGGAGCTCAGTTATGGTTACACTTGTGTTTTTATAAGCTATAAATGATGAGTTACCCATAAAAAGTGTGGAATTTAGTAAAGAAAAACCAGAGGACTCGTTTACACAAGGTTTACATGGTTGTGTACCTTTGCTTATGCTTCCAATGAGATGAGTGGAAACGTTCTTGTTGTGTATCCGCCCAGTGGTCAGGTGGAGAACTACATCTCTGGAGGGGCCCTCACTGCAAGCAGAAAAGTCAGCATGCCATGAATAACAAATCTCACTTTCTAACACTCATACCTCTTGTACTATCACGCTGTGTACTGTACCTCCCGGGGGTGGCAGGGCCGTCTTCTCCAGAGCCGCTGGAGTCTTGTTGTGTCCAGGAACACAGCAGAATAGCATAGCCACAGCCTGGCTGGGAAACCATCAACTCTGGTAATCCCTCTGGACCGGGGTTCACTGACAGACTGTCAACCTGCAAAACAGGCACTAGCATTATACACTGTGGCTTTATTTAGTTTTATAAGCATAGATAACTATGTGGCAGCCGAACTGAATTTATCTTTCTGGGAGCTCTTTCTAGCACATTGG